GCCACCAGCCGCTGTGGCTCTGCCCCCAGCTCAGGGTCCCCATGCCCTGCTTCAGGGAGCCTGGCTGCCCAGCCGCCTCCGTCCCTGCTCCCAGGCTGCCCAGGATGTCCTTGCCCGGGAAGCAGCTGGGACTGGTCCCTGCCAGCATCCCTCTGTCCCCTGCGTGGCCACGGGTGGCCCCCCCAGAATGTGTCCTTCCTGGGGTCACTCTCTGCTCCCAGACACCCGCACAGCTTTGCCAGGAGTGCGCTGAGCCTGACAGGGACCTTCCTCTGACCCCCAGGCTGCAGGGAAGGGCTGCAGTCCCGCCATGAGGGCGACAAGGCGAGGGTAGCCAACCCAGCTCCCACCCTGCACCCCATACGTACGTCCGCCGCCTTCTTCTCTGCCAGCTCCAGCTTCTCCTGGGCATCTTTCAGGGCCTCAGAGTATTTATCCAGCTCATCCTCCGTCCCCTTCAGCTTCTTCTGCATGGCGGCGAGCTCATCCTCCAGCTGGAAGGGCAGCAGCAGTCACCGCAGGGTGACGCCCGTCCGGACCCCCTCATGGTGGGATAGCTCTGCCTACCCCATCCCAGCTCAGCTCTGCCCCATGGCATCCCTCCTGCCCCATCCCGGGGCCAGCTCTGCCCCACAGTGTCCGTTCCTGTCCCACATGACCCCAGCTGGCAGGGGCTGAGCCCTGGGCAGCCCTCAGGGTGCCCCAGGGCATCGTGACATGGTCCCCGAGCTGTGGGACGGTGGCAGCTCTCACACCCTTGTTCCCCTTGCCAGAGCTGTGCTGGGTCTGGGCTCAGCATCGTCCAGCACAGGGAGAAGCCATCCCCCAGACCTCCCCGGGCTAGGGGCTTCTGCCGCCTGCCCTACCTGCTTGCTCCGCTCCTCTGCCTGCTTCTGCTCGGCCTCCGCCTGCTCCGCCCGGTCCAGGGCATTCTCCTTGTCCAGCTTCAGCATCTGCATCTTCTTCTTGATGGCCTCCATCCTCGGTGGGACTCAGGTGCCAGTGGCGGGCCG